TCCCCTCCCACTCCCTCCAAACAAGCAGGAGCACAGCGCTGATATGCTCCACAGATCACCAACCATCTGCTGGTGGCACTGGACCATTTGTGTGGAGGCTTTGCCTCTCTGCACCAGCGCTGGGGCCCCAGCCTTCAGGCAACGTGGCTTGGATGGAGTCAGAGATTCCCGCTGTCAGGAGATGATCCCAGAACTGCAGAGGAGTTCAGTGCAGAAGTTCCTACATCCTGAGGCTGTTTTAACATTTGGGTGGATTTGTTGCTCGTGGCTCACATGACAATGTGCACCTCTTCTGCCCTATCTGCAGATTCTGAGGTGGTAAAGGAGGGGGGGGGCTTTCTGTGGTCTGAGGCAGTGGTGGGTAAGATCCTTTCATGGGACTCTTCTGTCTACATGTTTATCCTAGGGGAGTGGTAGGGGCATCTCTAGCAGTAAGCTTTGACTGGCTTTTCCCTTCACACACTCGGCATCCTGATTTCTATTCAGGCCAAGTTCCAATCACTTTGTGTTGGACGCTGAGACCAAGGCAGTTTGGGGTTTACTAGCTTCATTTAAGGACAGGAACTTCACTCAGCCCTTTGTTTCAACCCCATCCTCATTGTATGCCGGCAGGTCATTAATCAGCAGAGGAGGAAGGAGACTGCACTAGGATCAGATGAGAAGGGAGACAGAGCGGGTGTTTACAGTTGTGAGTGAATTTAGTGTAGCTACAAAGGTGACAGAGGGCCAGCTCTGCAGCTTGAAGTCCTGTATTACCCCCCTCTGTACAACACAGTAGTGCAAAATCCCCATTGCCCTGCCGTGGATGGGACTCTGCTAAGCATCAGCCACTACTTTGGTCCACTTGATCCTGGGCCTTGAGACTGAGATGGATGTTTTTAGTGCCATTTGTAAGGGTAATTGCTCTGATATGAGGCACCCGTGTACGTTGAAATGGACTGAGGCCAAACTTGCTTCACATTGGCCACCAAAACGACATAGCAGTGATTTTTAAAACTATGGATCTAGGGTGCATTATCAGTGAGCTGGAGGTGAATGGTTCTGTATCTCTTTCCCGTAACTTTCTCTGACATGAGCCGAGTAGAGGTTCTATTCCCCAGGTGTGCAGGACTTGCACATATAACTCACCAAAATCTGTAAGTTACTCACTTAACGTGTCTCCTTGTTTTCAAGGAGAACATCTCTTCTCTGCTTCTGGGGCAGCGTAGATGGAAAAGTGAACAAGGTGGAAGGCAAATTAATCTCTCTTCAAACAGCAACTAGGAGGTTTGAGTGGGGTCTCTGTGCCAAACCTGCTAACACAGCCAGTTATTGACACAATCACTTTAACTGAGTAAGAGGAGTGCCACGCTACTGAGCAGGAACAGGTAATGAGAGCAGGGTGAGACTGTGGAATGGTAACCATGCAGCAGAACCCCAGCTACTAGCCAAGACTCAATGGGTGAGTATAACAGACCGACCGTGGGCAAGGAAGGGTGGAAGAAGTGAAATGATGAATGACTGAGGTTATGTGATTGCTCAGTTTTGGCACATCCACTTAGACTGGCTCACTTCTAAAGATTTTCGTAAATTGACATTTCTTATAAGCATCACCCAAGTACGTTATATGGAGAAATTATCCATCTCTCCCCGTAGAAGGAATCACTGGCAATCACTGTCAGTCCATTGTAGTAACTTGTAACATGGCACAGGGGCAAACTCAACCTGTTGAGCTAGAGAAAATTCAGAAGAGACCCTAACTGAAAACTTTAAAAGGGAGTTAAACATTATGTCAGGGTTAAGCTTAGTTCAAACATAAACCTACACAAAGAGGTTCATTTCCATTACAATTAGTCTTTATTAAAAATGTATTGGAGCAAAATAAGCCTCTAAAATACCGACCCAGTTTACTTGTGCGTAATTGAGAACACACTTTGTGTGTTGGAGAAGGGGTACAAACATCACACACACACACACACTCTCTCTCTCTACCCGGTGCCCTTTGGCAACACATTCTCATAAAATAAATGGACTCTCATGCTTAATTCAATATCTTATCTATATCAGAATAACTGCATAGTTCCAAGGCTTGGTTATGTAACAAGAAAATGTTATGGCACCAACAGAGCTGTCAATTTGCCCCAACTATTCAGATTAAGAGACAACCTTACAATCCCCGCTTCCTCCCTACCCCAGATGCAGGAATTATAGTGAAATTCAAAGTCTGTGGCTTGTTAAATCAACTATTGCACCATAGCAGACTTTCAGAAGCCAAGGAGCCACGTATCCAAATGCACCATCATCTCAGGTTTAAACCTTCTCTCTCGCTGAATACAACTCCTCGTTCCTCAACCCCTTGAATCAGGATGTCTGAGGTTTTAAAAACAAATACCCAACAGGCTGTAATTTTTTTTTTTTTTAAAGATGTAAATGTAGGTGAACAAAAAGTGCTCATGAAAGTAAGAGTCAACTTGGCTACAGCAAGCTAGGCAAAGGTAGAGAGCAGGTAGGTGTCCTTTCCCTATTGAGCTCAGCCAATTCACTTCAGTCCTGACATGTAGAAACCACTCTATTTGGTTTTAAGGTTGCCTATCACCATGGTATCTAAGGCGAGATCCTCCTGGGATTTCAGCACCCAACTGCTACTGATGTCTGGGAGTTAGGTGCCTAAATTCTTTTGAGGATCAGGGCTTAAGTGTGGTAACTGTGCTTCCAAGCCTGACCCCCCTCCTCCCCCAGCTCTGCAATAAGGAATTGTAGCAGGAACCTTCTGTGCATTAACCAATATTCTTCTTAAACTAGCAGAGATTCTCTGCCATGATGGCAAGGAATCAGTATGGTCTGATGTAGTAATAGGACCTTGTGTGCAGAATTATGGTATTTGAGCACCCAGAGTGTTTGTATCTTTCATTGCCTCAGTGCAGATAGACGAGCTCTTAGTCACATCTTATAGTAACTGTAAGAAAACCAAACAGATTAAGTACCCGAAGTGCTTTTTGATAATGGAACTTAGTGGTCATGGCAACACTATTACTGGGATGTTGTGGAAATGGCTCAGCCATAGAAAAATATATATTCGAACACGTAGCATGGCTTAAAACGCACAGTGACTCTACAATGCTTCCTTGAGTTAGTAAGAAAAGGGATTGGGCAATCAGCTGTATAGGAAAGAGGGTGGGGGTTAAAGGTTTAAATCTGACCGTGCCATCCCAGTTTCCTGCACTAAACCTGAGCTAATCTCCTCCAAAGTGACTGGGATGTGCTTGATGCTGTTGTGTATAGTCTCACCACTGGATAAAATGTTTCTTGAAACATTAGGGAGCAGGCTGTACCAACAATCGTAATCAATCATAAGGCAAAGGAAAGAATTCTTTCAAGTTACTTGAAAGCGCTAGTTTAATAGGAAAGCAAGGTTAATAAGGCTGTTTTAAAAACTTCCTCTGTTGTGTGTATCAAAGGGGGCGGCGGCACTGGTATCCAAAGGGCAGGAAACTTAAGCCACAGGAGCACACTATAAATTAAAGTTGGGGGCTCCTGGTCTTTGACGTTTAGGTAAAGCTTTCAGGTTACTGTTTAAAACCAAAATACAGCAGTGGTGAGCAAGTTAAAACAAAAAGGGGTTAAGAGTATTTGGGGTAGCCACTTATTATTTGTTTTTTTTAAACAACCTGTTACTGCTGAAGTATTCCTCAACACTGGGGACTGTCTGACTTCATTTTTAAACAAGGTTTAGAAGCGGAAAGGCTTTTGGTCTGCCAAGATCTGAATTAGGGATTTCTGTATCTTTCCAACCATAGCACAGGGTGGCACTAGCCTCTAAGATGGCATAGAGAGCTGGAATCCCTGCTCTGCTGGAGGTGTTTGATCTCAACTGTAACAGGAGAAACTTTCAAAACTTGAGTTCAAGATTCTAAGGGAGAATTGTTTTTCAATTTAGACTGACAAATCAGTATATTTTGCTATGTCTATTCCCCTCTACTCCAAAAAACATGCAAAACAAACTCCTGCTTTTGAAGATCATCCTTGGCAAGGGGACCATTTCAAGTCCTGAGAGTTACCAACACCAAATGTTTAAAAATCATTACATGTGCCAACCCCCTGCCCAGGGTTCTCTTTGTTTGCCTTCTGGCTTTGAGCTTTTAGGATGAATGAAGGTCATACAACACAGTTTTTCTCTTCCTAGTTCTCCTTGTGGCACTTTCCTTTTTTTAAAAAAAGGAGAGGTTCTTGTCTAGCCACATAAGACTCCGCAACATCAAGGACTTCACTTTTAGAAGACTGATTTTTTCAGTCTTCTAAGTGCCTATTCCAATTTCTCCTCTCCTGGGTTCCTTTGACAAATATTGAAGGATTTCCTCCCCTTCCCTGGAGCAGAGTCAACACAGCAAAGGGATGTTTATGACCCTGTTTGCCAAAAGAATCACTGAGTTCAGCAACAGCAGCATTATTGATGGAAGAGTTAGCTCGGGCTTCCTCTGCTGGCTGGATGCAAAGTCTATAGACGAAGCAAGCATCAGACTAGGGTATCCCATGACATGCCCTTAGCTGGGGCTACAAACAGTCGCAGCAGGCAGGTGAATTAAAAAAATCAATCTGCTGGAGCTCGGCTGGATTTCAAGTCCCAGAAATAAAAAATTAAGGGCCTGATTCTGCTCATGTTTTGAGGAGTTCTGGCCCTGACTTCTCCAAGGAGCAGAATGAGGCCCTTAGACACAGCCCATAGAGTACAAAAACGTATGAAGTAGTTTAAACTGAGTCAATCATTTGACAGCCCATACTGGCTCTTTGGGGAAGCCTGTCATGGCTACCCAGTTTTGGTCATGCTTCCTGCTGGTTGCTCTGCAGTGGGGTAACACCGTAAGCTTTGATGTTCCTCTCTAGGCCATCGCTTCAGGATCCTGCAAGGAAGGGAGGGAGGAGGGGGGGGGGGAAGTGGCTTTGATGGACTGAGATTGATTCAGAACTGGCCTGTGAGCATGCAGGAACATCTAATGAGTTGGTTATGACAGCAGGCACAAGTGAACTACAGCAATGCAGTTCAGGGTGTGCAAATTACAGTTCCCCCTACCGCAGTAGCCCTCTGTATTCAGCATCATGCCCCTCAGTGAAATCAGAACTAGGCATGGGCTATTTGGCATCAGTCAACCAACATCTAATTTTCCATTCATGTACACAAGCTCCCGTCCCCTGGCTGTGGTACTGATCAGACCCATTTAGGACCCAAGCAGCTGTGAGGGGTGTGACTATGTGACTTTGAGCTGAATAATTCCAGCTGATGGGCCTCTGTCCATTATTAAAATCTTTGCTCAATGGCTAGGACTCTAGAATGACTCCCCGTTGTCTCCTTCTGAAGTTTCTTCCTATTTCAAGTTTGATGGGGAGAAAGGAGCAATTCTGAAGGCACAGTCATTGATCAAAGATACAATAAACTACTCCTCGTTGTGTTCATTTGCTAAGTGAATTCAATACTGATGAAGAGCACCTGTCTAAGCACTGGATGGGTTACAGCAGCCAGGCCAGCTTCCCTGGCACCACCGGGCTGAAGGGCCTCAGTTTTGACCCAAGGCCTAACAGAACCCTTGGCCCCTCTGCTGAGGTTACTGGCAAGGATGGTGGTGGACGCCTGCAGAGACCTGTCCAGTAGTTGAACTGAGGAGCACCCAGCAGTGGGATTGCCTGGCCGTTCAGAGACTGTCACATTCTTTTATAGGATACCTGCTGCTGCTGTTTCCCCAGCCTGACTGCAGATATGGCACCAAAGTGGCCCACACCCTCAGTGCCCGCGTGGGGATGCTCCTGTGCCAGGAGAAGTGCTATCCACGCTGGAAGTCTCCCCTCTGCCCTCCCGTCTTGCTCACCAACTTCACCTCTTCGATGACTATGTCGTGCGTGACTGCTTTGCACATGTCATACACAGTCAGGGCAGCAAGGCTGGCGGCCGTCAGCGCTTCCATCTCCACGCCTGTCTTACCCTGGCTGTGGCACAGCGCCTGGATCACCACAGCCCATCTGCTCTCGTCCAGGCTCAGAGAGACAACCACATGGCTCAGAGGGATGTTGTGGCACAGGGGGATCAGCTGGCTGGTCAGTTTGGCTCCCTGAATCCCTGCGATCTGGGCTACTGCCAGCACATCCCCTTTCTTCAGCTGGTTCTGCCGCACCATCCCAAATGCCTTCTCACCCAGGCGAACCAGAGCACTGGCAACAGCGGTCCTTTCAGAATCGGGCTTCTTTCCAACATCTACCATGGCCGCCCGCCCCTCTTGGTCAATGTGAGTCAGGCTGCTGGAGGGACCCCGTTCACTGGTGCACAAGCCAGAACCTATGGCTTTGGAGTAAGATCCTGGGCCCTTTTCTTCTGACTGGTTTCCAGCCGCAGCCCCCGAGTGACTGTCCACAGCAGTGTGGCTGGTGTGCTGAATGGAAGGACTTCCTGTCCTAAGGCACTTTGTGTCCGAGCTAGAGCTCAAATTCTTTTGGAAGATGCAAATGCTGTGCGCCTGAGCTTGCAGAATTTCTGCTGCAAGCTGCTGTTGCTCTGAGTGAGATCCTGGCAAGGCATGCGGTCCTGTAAACACATTTTTCTTAAATGCTTTTCCCATCTGCTTGGATAAACTTGCTCTTGGCGTTAGCCAGTGGCCAGGTCTGTGGCCCCATTGCTTTGAACTTGGAGAATTCTGCACAGCATCTTGCAGTAGTGGGGTCGACTTCAATGCTGCCTCTGAAGAGGAGGATAAATAGAAATGAGACACAAGCTATTGCTACTAATTGGAAGGATAAGCTAAATATATCTGAACTAGGATGCAGTCAGAACACTGCTCCCACTTTTATACGTTACCAAAAGGCCTAGGAAGCTGGGAATTGAACTCCATTTCCTTACTAAAGTTCAGACCTCCCCATGCTCATAGGCTTGTTGTTATATTGACTTGCTTACCAATACTGCGGCTGGGTGCACGGTTATTGTAGGGTCACTCACAAGAGTCATTTGTTTTCAGTTTTAAAAAACATCAACATTTGAGAATAAGAAGCCAAAGAATTACCTGGACTTCATCTTTGGGGAAAAAACAAGGTGGGGCAGGGTCTACTGCCTTCTTCTGTGACAGTGTGATTAAAAATGTCTTCCTCAACAAATAAGCATGCCAGGCTCATTTTTAAACAAACTTTTTCACTCCCTACTTTGCTCTCTCCTGCCCTCCAGCTCTGGCTGCCGCTCTCACCTTTTCCAGCGCGCTATTTAAAGTAGGATCATTTCACTTTCCTGGTTTCTGCTCCTAGCGGCAGCCCTTAGAGGTCAGCTGGGCCGACAAGCACCAGCTGCATTGCCTGCAAGTTCCTAGACGGGCTCCATGCTGGGAACCTCCCTCATCGCTGCCAGTTCTTACTGAGTTAATGATGTGCACAGCGGTTGAGGCTTAGTCACTGGGAGCTCAGACTCCCTCATTGACACCCGTTTCCTCTGCCCTGGCCAGGAGCTCTGCCAGCTGAGTTTGGATCTTTATTTAAATCCACTGGGATGTAGCCCTCCTTGCCCCTCACACTAATCCCCCAACTTTGGCATTTCCACAGCGCCCACTGCCAAGCCCCACGACAGAAGGAGCCTGTTACATGCACAATGGAAGCGATTCAATTTATAATCCAAAGGAAGAAGGGGCAAAGAGGCAAGTAATGGCCACGTCTTAACCTGCTTTTTTAAAAGGAGATCTCCCCTATGCTCTTCACTATTCCTTTAAGCGATACAGAGGCTCAGGAGAGGTTTAGTGGATCACAGATCAGCAAGCCCCTGCTGTAGCCCCTTGAAGCGGGACTCCTTTGGGAAACAGCAAGTTCAAGAGCTGTTCACAGAGGAGTCAGAGCAGCTCTCAGGAGTGACACACACTGTGCTTTATTTTTCCCCAAGGGAAAGGCAAGGTCCCTACCTGCTTTGCTACTTTCTGGTAGAGTCCGAAGGACAGCCCACATTGCAAACAGCCCCTCACCACACTGTACTGGGTCTATTGCCTTGGATTAGCAAAACCTTCAAACGGAAGATTAGTGTTTATTTAACCTCTTCCCTGCTAGGCTCAACAGCCGTGCCATTCAGCTAGCTCTGGGGGGGGGGATTCTCTGAGCATCTTGGTTCAGAGCTAGAATTTAACTGTCTTTAGCTTTTAATCAAGACAACGGGCTAACTTCAGCTATGGAGAAAGCAGAGGCAGCTCCCCTGGAGTTGTGCCCTCTCACACTAGGGCTGAATGTGTCTGTACATCTGTGGTGTCACCGAGTGATGGAGGGGCTAAAAGAAAGATTCTAACAGGTAATTAACTAGGAGTGGCGGGGGTCACCAAGAACTCATTCACTAGCACTAATCCGATTTAAGAGGGAAACCTCATGAAATGGGGCCTACTGGCTGCAGCCCATCTTGTAATGGACACTATACTAATGGTGCAACAGCATAGAGAAGAAGCTTGATTTTTTTTTTTTTCATACAGGTCTTGGGACACCTTGAACCTTCATTTAAGAAAAATCAAGCATTTAAGGTAAGTGAGACCTTCAGTCCCCTGTACCTTCAGTAGTCTAAGCTCTGCAGGACTGAAGGTAAACTCATGCAGAGTGCCTGAACTGGGGGGGGAGGGAGGGCTGGGCTGTAAGAGGAATTAAGAGCTCAATACCCCAGGACTGCAGCTGCTCAGGAGTGGAGCATCAGTCAGTACATTTGGGAGGCACATAAAACTTCTGTTTAAGTGACACTGGTTGAGTAGACGAGTTCAGAAGACGGGGGTAAGTGCAATGAGGCACCCTGCAGTCATGCACTTTAGGGGTGCAGCACAAGCTGCCTCTTTTATACAAGTTTCCTTTAAATCCCACACAATGGTACCTCTGTCCTCACCCACATTGTTCACGTAACTCAAAAAGGCAAAGAGCGAAACCATGAACTTCCATGCCTGTGCTGGATACAATGCATGAGTAACTTTCTACTGCTGTAACTCAACAGTGTTTTGCTTGTACCTTATTAGTAAATCTGCAAAGCTAAAATTGGTTTCACCACTGAAAAATTTCCAACTGACATAAAAGAAGGCAGAAGGACTCATCACAAAGGTGAAGCTGGGAGGAGAACAGCCTATTCTTAATATTTCTATTAAGGAAAACAGTTACAGGACAGACAAATTAAGTAAAGAAGATGGGTTTAGCTTGCTAGGACAGAAAGAGAGATTAATCATTTCCATTGCATTAGATCTGGTTAAATGAATTCCATGTTCTCTCTACCTCCTGTCTGTTCACCCACTAGCTTTAATTGAACCCTGCAATTAAACACACAGATTAGGAAATCCCCCAATCTGCTTTCCATATGTAGCCATGGTCTGCACATCACATTGTGTCATCCTTGACTCAGCTCCGGTCCTAGAGACTGTACTGTTTATGCAGAGAATGCCAGCGGTTACTTCTCAAGAAAGGGAAGAACAGGACAGACTTCTGCTATCATTGCATGTAATCAGACTGCTATTCCAAAAGAAGCTGGATAGATCCCATCTCTGCATCCAGACCTCCCACCCTTCCTCCTCCAAATGCTATTTTAAAAATTAAAGAGAAGCCCCACAGATAGTTTAATAAATGACAGTGGATGGTGGTCTAGTTTGGGAAGTAAGAGAGTTTACTTTTCATCCCATTCAAAAACCCAGCTCATCCTCATTTTGCAGCCTGTGAGACTGCTCTAATTGTACTGTTTCCCCCTTTTCTGGAACGTAGTAGAGCAACTCTGGCAACACAGCCAAAGAACCAAGCAAACCAGGAATTGCCTGCACAGTTCAAGCTGTTCACCTACAAACTCAATATAGCAGAAGACAGCACGGTATCAAAGAAATGAGAATTGGAAGAATCTTGAGTGAAACCTTTCTTCTGAGAGAAGGGCGCGGAAAAAAAAAAGGCAAAAGCCCATATTAATACGACACGCTGCAGAATCCAGTTGCAGAGAGACTGAGTGGAGTTTACTAGAGTACTGATTAAAGGAACGGGTTTTGTAAATCTAAGGAATGTTACCTTCCCAACAATACAATTGTTTGTTCCCGGTCTAGGTACTTGCAGTTGCCAATTCTTGCCAGCTTTGAGTTACCAAGTTATAATCACAATATACATAATAGCTGATTTACTGCTTTGCTTGGAAGAGAAGAAGTGGGCTTGAAATAAAATGTTTTCCCCCTTGATGTATCAGAGCTTCTTAGCAAGGAATAATGATACTTAAAGCACCTTCCATCCAAGGATCTCAAAATGCTTTTACAAAAATATTCACTAAGCAATCCACCCAACATTTTTCTGCCCCTTCCTTATAAATGGAGGGAGATACAGGCACAGAAAAGGCAAACCTACTGGGCCAGTGTCACATAAAAATCAGTAACACAGCAATGAATAAAACCCAGGAGACACAATTCTTTATTCTGACCACTAGCCTATTGGATTAGAGGAGTAAATGGTTTGAAATCTGTTCTCCCCCACCCCCTCTGAATTAGAGCTGATTTGTGCTTGTGAATGCCAGAGAACTCTCGGGCAAGCATTCTAGCCAAGGGTGGGTTCAAAAATGATGCCCCTGGGCAGACAAGGGAAAAAGAAGAATAATGCACACTCATTGCTCCCCCCCCCCCCAGGCTTTAGTCCAAGGCATTAGGGATTCAGACACTATGGATAGGGGTGCTATATAAGTACCCGACAGCCACTAGGCTGCAATTAGTAAGTGGTATTCTCACCCCATGGTTTATGCAAGTGAGTCCTCACACTGTTCATTAAATTAAATGCCAGAGTTTGAAACCCATTTGTCCAGATTCAGGGGATATGGGCGGTGAGGTGAAGGAGCAAGATTTTCCTTTGGTAGCTATGCCACAATACCTGAGCGCAGGGACCCCAGTAGTGTGTCACCATCAAGGAATTCTACCCCAGCAATAAAGTGAAACCTGCGTCCTTTAAGTTTAATGTTTATGCTGCAATTTGTTCAAGGTGCCAAAATCTCAGCCAGATCCTGCTTTATAAGAAACACCCAGAAGTGCTGTAGTATCATTGTCCTGGTCTTGCTTAATGCAAAGGAAGCAAACAGGAGACATAGTGGCAAAGGCCTTAACATGCAACTTTGAAAGCCTAACACTTTTTTTTTTTTTTTTTTAAAAGCTCAAAATGGACATTGTTGACAGCCATATAAATGATCTATGGCAGGATGACAGGCTGAAGTTGATGGATGAGTCACCAATTCTCTCCCCCCACACCCCTTTTTTCGTTGATCGACTTAAAAATGACCACATTTCTTAAAATCAGTTCATCTCTGCCCAAAGTGAAATAGAAATATACGCAGCTTAGGAAAAACAAAAAACCCAACCCTTTCCACTCCCCAGAGATGTAACCCTAATAAAACCATGGTGTGTGTATTACGTACTGATGTGTCACCCACCGATCAGGATCATTGGCCGGTTCTTCATCTGGGAAATGTTAAACATGCCTAGAAATAAAATAATGTACATGTAAAAATTACTAGTTTTTTTTTTTTAAAAACACATTTTAAGTCATTTGTTTTCTTCTTCTATTTATTTTCTTCTGCTGTCCCCCACCCATCATTCCTAACCCACACACTAGGAGAAGGAGAGCCCAAAAAACTAACAAGAAAATACCAATTAACTCATTAAAACATAAAACATGGTCTGAGGACAATATGCAAGTGCCCAAGTACAGAGCTGCCATCATACAGTGGAGCCTTTTCCCAGAAAGTCTCCTATAACCAGACTTACTCTCTGCATGTTACAGCAGTCAAATAATTCAGACTGACTGGAGAAGGATGGTCCAGTGGTTAGAGCACTAGCCTAGGACTTGGGATACCAAGGTTCGATTCCCTGCTCTGCCACTTTCTGTGTTATGTGAGCAAGTCATGTAGGCTCTCAGTGCCTCAATTCCCCATCTATAAACATAGGGATAATAGCATTTATATGGTCTCCGAAGGTTTGCAACAATAACTACATTAAAAGATTGTGAGATACTCAGTTACTATGGCGATGGGGGCCATTTAAGTACCTTAGACATACTGTCATATTTCAGCAGCAGCAATGGTATTTCACTGTATAGGTAAATAAGTTACACATATAACTGTGTACAATACACCTGTATACCTTCCACTACAAGGCAGGCTAATACCGAGAGACCCCAGGATTGGTGGTACGGGGACTAATGATCTGGAGGCAGCAGGGAACACTGAGTTGGCATATGCTGATGACTTCAAATTGTTCCGAGTAGTAAAAAAATAAAAATAAATAAATAAATATTAGTGAAAGACTCCAGATGGATTTAGATTTACTGGACAACATGGTGGCAGACCCAATTGTGTTTGGGTAAGAGTTGTGCACAGTGAAAATTAGTCTATGCTCATATACTGAGGAGTGCTGAATGTGTCAGATTCCTCCCAGGACATGAAGATGTCTGCTCAGTGTACAGAGGCAGCAGGGTAAGAAAAGCATCAGACTGTTTGGGGATTGGAATGACAGAAGATGAAAAAACCTGGATTTACCCCCTTGTTTGAGATCACGCACTCAGCTTTGGTCACCTCACCTGCAGATAGATTTACTAGGTCCAGAGAAGGATAATGACAACGGTTAGGGATTTATAAGAGAACTAAAGAGCCACTCAATAAAATTAATGGCAAGTGTATTTAGAACAAAAAAGGAAATACTTCCTCGCAGCATGGCGTCAGTGTCTAGGATTCACTGCGCAGGCTGTCAGAGTTCCATTTGGCAGCTGAATTTTTAAAGACAGCTTGAAAAGATTTGTGAATAAAATCATTTGCAAGTATGCCAGCTGAGAGAAGAAGAATCCGGTCTCCAGCATCAGGGTGTAAATGCATCACCACAGGGGTTATGAAACCATTCCCCATCCCCAGAGCAGTGCTGCAGAACCAGCTGTGTCTTAGCAGTTTCTCTCAGCTTGCTCTGAAGAATCAGTACTGGTCACAGTCAGAAACAAGAGATTGGACTAGATGGATCAGCAGCCTAGCTCCGGTACTTGTGGTCTTCATTTAATTCTAATAAGAAAACGTGGCTCTCTCAGAATGCTGCAAAGTGGAAAGGCAGGCAAGGGAAAAGGTCTGCATTCATAACTACAAGAAGGTAGGTTGACTGAAAATTACAGGGTTGCCACTAGGTATGGTAATAACCAGACAGGAGAAGGGCCGGAGATAAAGCTGCCAGAGACAGAAAGTGGTTCTCCTGAAATAAGGCTGAAGGCAGGAGAACAGCAAGAGGGGGTTGCTGGCTGACCTCCCCAACCCAGAGGGCTGAAGGCAGGAGGAGCAGCAGAGGCAGTTGCCTGCTGGCTCTGAGCCAGAGCCAAGGGCCAGAGAGGACCAAAGGAAAGGAGAGCAGCAGATGGCTTTAGTCGTTGGACCCCAAGGGAGTGAGGGATGCTCCCCTGGCAAGGCTGCATGGAGAGGCCATGGGACTATCTGCTGGGAAGAGCGGTGGTGCACCCCAGAAGGAAGCGTTGGGGTGGCTGTCCTAGCAGGGGGACTGACAAGGACTGATAAGGAGCCTAGTTGTGACAGAAGACAGTGAGGTATAGTGCGAACAAGGACTGTGTGCACTGGGGTGATATGGACTGTGTTGTAATCTACTGGGCCCAAGCAGAGGTGTTGTTTAAGTAGAGCCTGAAGTGGAGGCGTTTGGGTTACTCAAGAGGGAAACGGAGGTGAGGGGCCACTTGCAGGACTGTCTCAAGGCCACAAGGGGGCACCCAGGAGGAGGGCACTCATTTACAGCCACACTCAGAGTTCTATTTACAACCCCAGAAATCCACACGGTGGCTAGACAGCCTGGGTTCCAGCTCAGGAAGTGGGTAAGAAAGCTTCAGAAAAGTACCCAAATTTCAGAGTAACATTGGAACATTGAGGTTGGCCTGTCACCAGTTGCCTCATTAAGACCAGTGGCAGATAATGCTCCTAATCAAGTGGGAACCTCAGAGTTTCCTCTCCTGAGTCACTGTAATTCCACAAAATAGCTTTTCCCTCCCTGCTACCAGGTCTTGCGAATCATCCATTCTATTGTAGAAAAGGGCAGTTTGTCCTAACCCCTCATTATTACTTGTACACAGTAAACATACCTGCATGCTGTTTCTTTTTTCTGCCCACTGCTTCTCCTATAATTTGAACCAATTCGTCCTCCGAAGCACCGGACCGTAGGTGATCCCTCAAGGACACTTCTGAGTTCCCAAAAAGGCACACCTGCAATAAACCAAGGGGAGGAGACACAGTGAATAAAGCTAGCCGGGAAACACTATTCCTATTACAACCAACATCAGCATCCTGGGTAAAAATGAGCAAAGCATTCAAATAATAAAAAGGCACAGTCACTTCCCAGCCATGCATCTGGGTCTCTGTAGGGTATGACACAGCTGTCTTGTCTCTGCATAGCTCCTTGCAGCCTTGAGGGTCTCTGAGTCAGCAGAGGAGGGAAGCTGTGCAAATCCATACCCTTACAAAACCTAAATGGGGGAAGGGGGGGAAGCACAGGCCTTTGAATGAACATGTAAGAGACAAACCCTACAGTACCCAGATCTCCAAGCTCATTGTCAAGGATGAACATTTCTAATGTTAATTTCTAGCGTTTCATGGGATGGGCTATAAAACTAGAAACTCACTGCAGTACTGGGTCTGGACGACTGACCACTGGATAACACAATTCAGTGGCCTGCTGGGCTGCAATGCACAAAATTCAACTCAGAACAGGTCCAATGTCTGGGAGCCAAACGATGTTTTGCTGTGAACCCAATAGGATCCACTACTACAGCAGTTTACCTGAACATCAGGCAGCAAAAAACCAACCTGGTCTATGGGAGAACAATGGCTACAGTTCTCCTAATTCTAGTACTCCTAAAGCCACCAGCTAGCCATTTACTTTAGGAGTATATAGAACTGGACCATCTGGAAACACAGCAGGCAGGCAGAGATGTCATGAGATTTGTTTCCTTCCTTCATCTCTCCTGCTGTTGTAGGTCTTCTTGCACCATGGCTGGGCTGAGAGATGCCCCAGCTGGTTCCCAGGGGTAATCCAGGAAGGAAGTATTCAAGCAGGAGGCTTTTTAAAAGTTCCACAGCTACTGCTTCTATATTTTAAAGTGTATTGCAATTGCTGAGAATGCACACAAACTTTGTTGATGCCAATACAAAGTTGCCATCCCTGTCATGGGATTACTTTGTTCCTGGGCAAGTTGCTTTAGTACAATTGTGCCACCTTCAGCTAACTTAGAGGACACCTACTCTTTTGTCAGCAAAGGGTCCTGAACATTGACAAATGGATCTCAACATACGAGTATTAAAGGTATATGGAAAAACATGGAAAATGAGTGGTTTTGACCCTGTTATGGTCACTTACACATTATTTCTGTCCAAGTTTTTTTTTTTTTTTAATTTGCTATTGTCCCACAACACAAGATTGTTTGAAAGTAAAAATAAGGAATTTTATTCCCCCTGTTCACTTTCTGCATTTGAAATCAATTGGCATACAGTCAGTCTCGCTGTGACCTCTGTACAGTCACGGTCACTGGTGTGTCAACATAGAACACACTTTTTAAAAAAAAGAGAAAGGAAAATCTGCACATATATAACCACAGAAGTTAGCAGGGGGACTCAGGCAGGCTGACCTGAAACTATATATTTTTTTTTTAAACTGACAAGATTTCACACTGACATTCTTTTAAATCTGAGTGCTACACAATGGAGCAATTCTTGGGCCATCAATTCCTCTCCTTCCATTGCAGTTTACAGAGTACAGTCAGCATCTGAACGCTCCTTCTCCTGTCCCCCTGACCACCCCCTTCCATTCTATCCCTCTCTAAATCTCACCCTCACTTTCCTTCCCCTCTCCACTACTGCCTCTTCCATCTCCAACACCGTTCCATTTAAGAGAAGTAATTCAACCCCCTATTTCAGCTCTAAGTCGGTGAAGGATGTCTTGTTTCATTGCCTACCTTCAGGTTCCCATCTGCGGTTATCCTCAGCCGATTGCAGGATCCACAGAAGTGCTCTGACATGGAGGTAATAAAGCTGATCTGCCCCTGGAAATCTGGTACCTTGTAAGCCTGAAGCAGCCCCGGGACAGAAGAATAGATCAGGGTGGATACAAGTCAATGATATTTACATGTTTTAAATGGATTTGTAATTTAAATTAGGTACATTTTTCTTTTGAAAAAATAAACCTGGTTAAAATTAAATTTGAAGGGACAACAACCTGTGTTAAGGCCTAAACTTATTTTATATTAAAATTATTTAAGCAAACAAAAACATTGCATCAATGACTGCTCCTCAACTTTTAATGAGTCTAAGGGGTGCCTGTTTTGGTTTTCTTTTCTTTTTTAATTATATACCGAACCAGGGGAGATTAAGACCTGTCACCTCTGGATCCCATGTTTAAATCAAGACTAAAATAGGAATAAAGATATGGCTAGAGAATACATGTTTAGTATTCCTCATACCTTGGAAACTCCTATGAGCGACACAACCAGAACCCTCTCTCTGGATACTCCCCAAAATAAGCCCCAACATGTCTACCCCCCTGACACTCACACCTGACAGACAAGTAATTGGTAGGTGCCTGGTATTTCCATGGGAAAAGTTAATGATAGTTGCTCACTGAGGCTGTGTGCATGCAGTTTGATCAATGTCCTTGGGATCATTACATAGGTGGCTATGGAGCATTATGCCACATGCTAATCCTCTTTGCTCCAGCCATTCCAAATACAAGTTGTTGTGCACTTTGCTGAAGCCTTGGGTCTCCCTTCATAGTGTTCTTAGCCTGCACCCACCTTGGCTGTGCTGGAGGCCTCACAGGGCAGCTTCTCCAGGTCAGGCCATCTCTGCCTGACTGTATCCAGCATCTCCTTATAGCTCACCATCTTCTTGAAGTTCCACTTGTTTCCTAGGTTTTAAATCAGCACAAATTTAGCCACCAGGAGTTTTTAAATAGGAAAGAACAGAAAGTCCTTTTACCTGGCTTTCAATCACCCCTATCAACACTCAAACTGTGAGGACCTGTATTGACCCTTACAATTGATTGTTCTAGCAATCCTTGTCTTCTTGAGTAAGAGGATGCAATGAACGGTGAACCAACCTGGACTGGTCAGGAAGGGCAAGGGTCTGTAGAGACACAATCAGAACAACTGTCTGTGTCGAAGTGGCAACAGGGTCCTAGCTGGGGGCTCTGCATCCGCTAGCTCTGGTGCAGATTTGTGGCTTCTACCCTTGTGCTGGCACAGTTTAATGCAGAAGCTGAAGATAAATTATTCCAACATGGAATAGCTTGGGGGAGATGGCCCCAGTTTTCCTAAAATGGGAATGGAAGGGGGAGATGGAGGGCCTTTCTGGAAAGAGTTAGCAGGAAAAGTGCACCCCAACAAAGAGCAATATTGATACCGTGAGCACGGAGGACACTTTCATTCTGGAGCATGGGAAGCAAAGAAGCTAGAATCCTGGGTTCTTGAAGGGCACCATGGGTATGTCTACACAGCAAACAAAAACCCGTGCTGGCCCATGCCAGCCAATTTGGGTTCATGGGGTTCGGGCTGCAGGTCTGTTTCATTGCTGTGTAGACTTCTGGGCTTGGGCTGGAATCTGAGCTCTGGAACCCTCCCACCCCGTAGCGTCCTAGAGCCTGGGCTCCAGCCCGAGCCCAGAAGTCTACACAGCAGCTAAACAGCCCTGCAGCCCGAATTGGCTGACACTGGCCAGCCACAGGTTTTTCTTTGTGGTGTAGACGTACCCCATGTCCAAAGTCACCATAAGCAGAACAGCCCACTCCATGGACAGGTACCGTAATAGAAAACAGATATGAGGAGGGAGCTAAGGAAGTTTCACAGGTGGAGCATAGCTTATAATGGTGACACCATTCCGTTTCCATGAGATTTCCCTCGCAGGAAAGGCATCTCCAATATACAACAAGCCAGCCCCTCCTCCAGCCCCTGGCCATTGCAGGACACCCAACCTCCCACCCACTACACGCTGACCTGCCCTGCGTCCTTGGACACAGCAGTGAAAACTACAGTGGCTACTTTACACAAAGCTTCTCTTAGGTTTAAAATAGGGGTTCAGGCACCCCGCAGGAGACAGTCAACGCAATCAGGTTTCAGAAAAGAAGCCCAAGTAGCGAAGACTTGTCAGCCAGATTCACTCCCCCCGAGAGAAGGCAAAACTGCACAGGCAGTTACAGACCAAGAGTACTCACCGTCGAAGGGCATGTATTCGATGAACCGCACGTCGAGCGGCTGGTTCTTGGTGAGCGCCACAAAGTCCAACAGCTCATCCTCATTGAGGCCTCTCATCACTACACAGTTCACCTGGAGGGAGAGAAGGAGCCTGAACCCATTGTGCAGAGAGCCTGGTGTTCCCATGCAAGATCTCAATACCCTGAGGCTCTGAATGAAAAACGTCTGAGTCAGCTACACAAGGTGAAGAGGTGGGATCACCCGTATGTCCTGGGAAGGCCCTGCAATGCTACTGGAAAATGTCTTTAATATTTACAAAAATTGCCAACCTCTGAAGGGAAAAAAAAACAACACCCCAAAAAGGCAAAGTATCAAGTCAGAGTAAAACACAGGGTTCAAGAGCACTACACAACAAATGATCTTACCTTAACAGGATTGTACCCCAGTTCAACGGCTTTGTTGATTCCTTCCATTACCTTATGAAAGCCTAAAATGGAACAAGAATTAAGTCTTAACAAAAATGTAGATGAGCAAGTCAGTAAGTATCAGACAAAAAGATGGCAGAGACAAAACAGCTTGGCCCAGTAGATGGTACTGAAGTCAAGAGACTTTTGTTCTGTCTTCAACTCTGCTGCTGTCATCAACTTAGTGTGACCTTGGGCAAGTCACTTGAGGCCAGATTTTTGAAGATATTTGGGGGCCCAAAAAATGCAGAGTTGCTTAATGGCTTGTGGCACCTTTGCTTTTTTTTGGCACCCAATACCTTCAAAAATCTGGCCCTGAACTTCTCTGTGCTTCAGCTTTGACCATCACTACCCCCAGTTCTACCAACGTGGGAGAGCATCTATAAAAAGTGCTCCCGGATTTAGGGGGGAAAAAACCCCACTAAACAATTGCTAAAAGAGGCCATCAGGAGAGGTGTCTGTTGCATTTTTGCCTCTGCTAAGACTGCAGCACGTCACTTTCTGTAAGTTGACCACTCTGCAACGAGCTGCTAAATGAATCAAGAAATGGACAAAAAATGCCAGAATTCCCAACTTGCCCCTGACCACAGATTTTTATTGGTTCCTGGAAAAGCTAATGGCTTTGACTTTGGTTTTAAGGTGACAGGTGACTTTTCATGGCATCCTCATTTTATGAATCATTTGACCCGTCACTTTGATGGGCACATTGAAAGAGAGCTTTTACAAAACCAGTTCAGCTTGGCCTTTGACCTTCCGGAAAGGATGAGACAAGAATCAGAAACTGCAGTGACCTCAGCAATAGAAGTGCTTAGCCTCATCCTCTCATATTGCATCTCCACCCCATCTCCCACCTCCAGACAGTGAGTCCACTCAATACTTATTCTTCCTAACTGCCAAGAAGCTAGACAATTCATGAGTCCAAGGGCCTTGGAAAAATCTGAACTCCCTTCCCATGCTCCCTATAACCCCACCCCAAGTGATAATCCAGTTTCTTTGTTAAAGTTAGGAAGAGAACTAGCAGCAAAAAGTTGTTCCCTGCTGTGAACAGGTGGCCACAATGCCTAGTTCCTAGGGGACACGTGTTGACATCAAAAACCATCATCAGAATAAGCACCAAATGTCCCTCCACGTGCTCATTGGCAGTCCAGGCAGTGGTCCCACAAAAGAGGGGTTCATACACATTAAGTATTGTAAGCTCTTTGGGGCATTTTGGGCATTATTTTTGTTCTGGGTTTGTACAATGTCCAGCACAATGGAGCCCAGCACCCTGTGGATGCTACTGGAAATAAGCAAGTGCCTTTGTGTTTCCAGGGCTGCCCATCCAGTCCCTTTCTCCAGTACTCAATACACAAAGAATGCCACGAACAAGATCAGGGAGCTTTAACTCATCTGCTCCCTGGCTAGTTCAGAGTGGGCACACCAAACGGGGGCACAGGAGGGAAGCAGAGGATGCCAGTCCCACTGATCTTTTCTGACCCACAACTGCACCTCCTTTAATGCCAGCCCTGCAAAGCAGAAGGATGAAAGTGGGGTGCAGGGGTGAAGAGCACAGGGCTAATAAACTAAAGAACTGAAGCAAACATCAGCTGCTTGAATTCAGAACCCGTTTGCTTTCTCCTCCTCACAAGAGTGTTTGCTTTGCTGGCACCTAGGAAGCCCATGACATCAACGGTGGGTTTTATTCTCATTAAGCGAGCTGCAGACTAAACATGGCAGGGGAGATCATAACGCACTGCTATAAACATGTCCCAGAGTCACGAACAGGGACTGGGAAGCCCAGCAACCTCTCGGAAGGACTGAACGGAGAGGGGATAGTGTGACTTTGGCAATGCCAAAAGCAGATCCTTAACTGAACCCCCAGAGGCCAGTCATCAAAACACAGCCCCAAGCAGCAGATCAAAGACACCAGGCACGCCCAAGTCCATGCACGCTTGGGCTCAGCCGGGTAGGGGTGATCTGAGGAGGGTTACAGCTTGTGATGTATAAACAACTGTCCTTCTCAATTCTTCCTCTCATTCCCAGCCACACTCACTCAGTCCCTCAGACTCTCCGAGGCAGGGTCCTATCCAGGCAAATGCGTATGCTCACAACCCCTTTGGATTGGTCTCAGCTGGGATTCCATCTCCCAGATTTCATCCCTGCAGGAGAAGTAGTTTGAAGGCACAAGTTCAAGGGTGTGATTGTGGGAGGCTGTCATTGCATCGCCTCCAGGGGCGATCTGAAAAAGCGAGGTAGGTGGTCAACTCATTTCGACCATCAGCATCGAAGTGCAGGTATTCTCCACTGGCTCATTCCATAGGGCGTGAAGGGCAAGAAGGAGCTGAGACACCATGTTCCTCATTTTCATGCATCTGAGTTACTTATGTGGCTCCTGTTACTCAAGTAGCAGAGCATCTCACAATCTTCAGTGCATTTATCCTCCATATCTGTGAGGTAAGACTGTACTATTATCTCCATGTTCCCGAAAGGGAACTGAAGGCCCAGACAGACTAAGGCCCAGATCCTCAAGAAATATTTAGGTGCCTAATTCTTATTAAAAGAAATGGGAGTTTGGTGTCTAAATACCTTTGAGGATCTGGGCCTAAGTGAATTTCCCAAGATCACACAGGAAATCTAAGGCAGACCAGGTCTCCTGAGTCACAGGTCAACATCCCAACCACTGCACCATCCTCTCTCCCTCATGTACTGTTTATTCCTCAGACTCCAGCATAACCACTGTAAAAGTTCCCAGGCAATAGGATTACTAAGCCTTGGGAAAAAACCCTGAACCTATAGAACCAGAACCCTTTCTCTGGATACCTCCCCCCAAATAAGCCCTAAAGTGTCTGCCTCACTGTGCTTTCACATTATAACTTGACTCATCCCTATGGTGAACTCTTCCATTCACTATAAAACTTGGTCTAAAGTCATGCAAAAGTGCTTTTTTTTTTTTTAATTAAATGGATGAAACTAAAAAAGTCACCCACTTTTGGAGTTATTGGTTTCACCCTATTTCTCCTTCACCCAAAGTCTTAGAAAACTAGTAACTTTACTCTTACCTTCCTTTTTATACAGTTTATTAAAAACCCTGGGAATTTCCCCATCTCTCCCCTGTACCTTTGGGCTCAGCAGCACTCTCCCCTTTCTGTGGTTAAAAGACTTTTTTTTCCAGAAGATATATACCGGTAATTACGCCTTTCCCTCAACAAGTTTTAGTGAGATGTAGTTTATAAGCAGCACATTGCTAATGACTCCCAATCAGATATCCAGAGCTGCTGCCATGTAATTCAGGAAGCTGCAGGATCAGGTGTGTCCCTTCAATAGCAGAGAAGGAACACATTTCCCACAAGTGCCTGAAACTGGCTAGTCTTTAAGTGCAGGCAGTGAAAAGCAAAGAGTGGACAGGACTCCCCACTGTGCCCTGGTACAGCCAGGTATATTTCCTGTACATGAGGCCACCACACCAATGACATTGCCTCTCTAACTTTCTCATCTAGGGAATGTTCATTTGTGTGAGATCTGTATCCAAACACAGTGAATTTCCTCATCATGAGCCAGATTAACCAAACAAGTACCCAGAGAAAGAGAGCGACCACCTTTCCTCACCTGTCAGACACGGATCATGCCACGCTCTAGGTTTATTCTGGTTGGGGAGCACAGTGAAACCTCGGCTCCATGACCGAGTGCTCAATAGGTTACAGTTACTTTCTGTAGCCCTGCAGAGTTTTAAATAGCTTGTTCTTGACTTTACTGGTACTGCAGCACCATCTAGTGCCTAAGGGGAGACATTGTCTCTAAGCTAGCAGTCCACATAGGTTCACAGAGGGGGCGGGGGGGAGAGGGTTTGCATTCAAAAATATAAGGGTGTGATGATGAATTTCATGTTGGGGGGGGGGGGGGGGGGAAATCTACCAAACCTGAACATTTGGGTTGAACTTCATGTTGAGCATTAAGGTTCATTTAAAAAGGAACTTTTAACATATCCCCACCATCACATTTTGTATTTGTTGTTGTCCTAGGTCTCTGAAATTTACATTTGAATTCACTAGCTAGAAAAAAGTGATAGGACTCATACCCCCTCATCAGTGACCTCAGGCTCTGTTTATCCACATTAAAGAGTACAGGATGGACAGCAGAACTAACTACACACATATAAAACCAACATAGAATGATAGAAATGTAGGATTGGAAGGGACCTCAATAGGTCATCAAGTGCAGTCCCCTATGCTGAGGCAAGACTAAGTATGATCTAGAGTTTCTAGACCATCCCTGACAGGTGTAAGTCTAACCTGTTTTTAAAAACTGCCAATGATGGAGATTCCACAACCTCCTTATGTAATTTGTCCCAGTGCTTACTATAACCATTATAGTTAGGAAGTTTTTCCCAATGTCTAACCTAAATCTTCCTTGCTGCAATTTAAGCCCATTGCTTCTTCTCCTGTCCTCAGTAGATAAAGAGAACAATTTATCACCTTCCTCTTTACAATCTTTTATGTACTTGAAAACTTATCAAGGTCCTTCTCAGTCTTCTCTTCTGCAGACTAAAACCCAGTTTTTTCAATCTTTCCTCATGGATCAGGTTTTCTAGACCTTTAATCATTTTTGTTGCTCTCCTCTGACTTTCTCCAATTTGTCCACATCTTTCCTGAAGTGTGGTGCCCAGAACTGGACACAATACTCCAGCTGAGGCCTTATCAGTGCTGAGTGGAAGAATTATTTCTCATGGCTTGCTTACAACACTCCTCTGCTAATACATACCAGAATAAGTTTTGCATTTTTTTTTGCAACAGAGTTACGTTTGCGACTTATATTTAGTTTGTGATCCATTATAACTTCCAGAACCTTTTCTGCTGTGCCTATAGGATTTCAAGTGTACTAAAGTGAGATATATCACATTTACTCCTGCCCCCCACATCCACAAGGCTTGTCAAACTGTCAAAGAAGAATATTAGGTTGGTTTGACATGATTTGTTCTTGACAAATCCATGTTGATGGTTACTTATCACCTTATTATCTTCTAGGTGCTTACAAATTGATTGTTTATTTGCTCCATTATCTTTCCAGGTACGGAAGTTAAGCTGACTGGTCTACAATTCCCTGGGTTGTCCTTATTCCCCTTTTTACAGATAGGTACTCTATTTGCCCTTTTCCAGTCCCTCTGGGATCACTCCCATCCTCCACAAGTTCTCAAAGATAGCAGCTAATAATGGCTCAGAGATCTCTTCAGCCAGTTCCCTAAGTATTTTAGGATGTATTTCATCAGACCCTGCTGACTTGAAGACATCTAATTTGTCTAAGAAATTCTTAAATTATTTCCCTATTTTAGCCTCAGATCCTACCTCATTCACATTGATGTTCACTTTGCTAATATTTTTGGTGAAAACAAAAAAGGCGTTTAACACTTCAGCCATTGCTACATTTTCTGTTGCCTTTCCCTCCTCGTTGGGTAATGGGCCTAACTCTGTTCTTGGTCTTCCTCTTGCTTCTTATGTTTTTGGAAAATGTTTTCTATGTCCCTAGCTAGTTTAATCTCATCTTGTGGCTGGGCCTTTCTATTTGTGTCCCTACATGCTTGTGTTTTTTGTTTTGTTTAAAAATATTTATCCTTTGTAATTTGACCAAGTTTCCACTTTTGTATGACTTTTTTTTTTTTAGTTTCAGGTCATTGAAGATCTCCTGGTTAAGTCAGGGTGGTCTCTTACCCTACTGCCTATCTTTCCTCCACAATGGGATAGTTTTCTCTTGTGCCCATAATAATGTCTCACTACACATTTAAGCATGCCTCAAGCATGACCAGGGGAGACCACTTCTACTGCTGACAGCAAGTTTCAGGCATCGTGGTCTATTTAGTCCTTGACTTCTTTGCTGGAAATGCCAAGGTTCCAAATAGTGCCAGTTCTGAAGCTAATTTCAATGCAGGGTATTTGTCCACTAGGAACTGGACTGAACAATTAACTCATTTCACAGGCCACCAGGACTTATCTTAAGGAGTCAATAGAAGCAGTATAGTAAACCATATGGGGACATTTTAAATTGGTTGCTGAAGACACAAGATTGCCCATCTGATGGGTCCTTAAGCAGGATTCACTGTAGGAAGTGTGTGGAAGGGCTTGTACCCCAAGGAAAACAAATGTTTATAGAGTTGAAGAACAAATGTCAGCATGAGAAGCAGAGCTGGTGAATCGCAGGCAAATCATGAACCAACCTGGCATACAGTGAATGTATTCTGTATTCATCATCATCCAGTATTTGGGAATAATAGGTTCTGAAGCTGGGAGTCACAAATGGGTTTCAGTGACTCATGACCATCTTCTTTTTCTTTATGGTTAGACAGGCGAGGAGCAGGGGCTGTCACATGTGGTTATGGCAAGGAGTAGGTTGACCACCTCTGATCTGAATGAATTATTTTCAGTTTTTGTGGGTGGCAGGGGAACAATCTGGCAGCCATTCATGCCTTCATTTGATTATTAATGGTGGACAATTGGTTTCAGGGCATTGTTTCTGTTCCTGGCTGAAAATGTTGAACAGGAGAACAGTGTAGAGCTGAGAATTGACAAATGTAGTTATGAGACCTCCTACCTCAAGCTGTTATCACCCGTTCTCATGAAAAGGGGTTTTGCCTGTGAAAGAAGGCTGAGTAGAAGGGAAGAGGGCCAGCTATCAAGCTCAAGCCAAGTGCAGATATTTTAGGCTGGTCTTAAGGAAGGGAATTTCACTTCTCTCCCAACAGAAGTTTGAAAGAGACTGGCTGAACCAACAGGGATATAAAAAGATAGGCAATGTCACCCTATAACCAGCGACATGTTATTTGAATTTCTGTACCTTTCCTCCGGACGATGAACTCAAATTTGGCCGGAACCAGAGTATCCAAGCTGATGTTAATGGCATCCAGCCCCGCCTCCTTCAGCCGTGGCAGCAGCCTAGCTAAGTTGATCCCATTGGTTGTGACAGCAATGGTTTGTAGCCCTTCTAGCTTGTATAGCTGAGCTAGGAAAAAGCAGGGAAAAGGAGAGCGTTTAATGGCCAGAGTTCAACCACAAGATGCACGGGAACCTCTAGAGAACATTCTAGATCACTAGGGAAAGGAGAAAGTTATTTTCACATGAATGCAGTCAAGAGCCCAAATCCCTCCATCCACCAAGTCCTTTCACCCACTTACCAATTCACTAGAGAAGATAGTCAGAGAGGGGAGCTCACCCCTTACCAAGTGGGCTCTGTTGACAACCAGCACATGTTTCTGTACCTCATTGTCTTTGGAGCTGCACTTACTAGATTAATAGAGTACAGCACAAGCCAGCCGCAAATGGTATTAAAGGAGCTAAAATGTGGCAAGCAACAGCGATTCCAAGAACTTCTTCAAAACGCTCTGGACATAGATTAACTGCGCTCTATATTTATTACTACAAATGAATGCTTTAATGTTGAAGGAAGCCCCATGGACTCATTTAGCCTGGCCTGTCTCCCAGCTGTCCAGTTCCGAAAGCTGAATTCCAACGCTAATGGGTCAGTCGCTAACCACGGCTTTCTTGGGGCCCTGACTGGATCCAGATACTGAACTACTTGCACTTATTTTGTCCTAAAGGCTTTACACACCATAGCATATCATTCGCTGAAAATTACTTCACCCACCCCTGAAACACAACCACATTTCGGGGGAGAAAGTGGCAGCTACTTTAACAGCTCAAAGCAACATTATACAAGCAACTTAAGATAGCTCGCAAAGCATGCTGTAGTCACCAAAAACTGTACAGGGAATTTAAGGAGGCTAAGAGACACTCAGGCGGTACAGCTTAAAGGCTGAAATCTTCAAAGTTCGTCCTTACTATTAATACAAGCATTACTAGTCTGAGTGATCAAACAGTGCTAATGCAAGACCCACAAGGGGAAAGCTATTAAAAAACACAAGAGGAAAGATTAGATTAACATCCCAAGTTCAAGTCTCAGAAACAGCAACATTCCCACAAAATGCATGTGTAGCAATACTTGCAGGGTCCTGAGACATGGCTAATCCCCAATTTAGAGCTACACAGTTCCAACGTTACCACCAGTCCTAGGAGCTTCACGGTGACCACTGGGTAACTCCAAGTGTCTACTGTAAAAAGGCTGCCACATGGGTGAGAAAACGGAAGTGGCTAATTCCAACTGCCCCTAGCCAGGAAGGAACAGAACACTACCCATTGCCTCACTTGATGAGGTTTAGTATCCAATCTGCCCCTCAACCTGAATGTTATGAGGCTTTTCCCAAACTTGGCAATGCTGTCCCACCAATGGGGCTCACATGACACCGAAACCAGCCTGAAACATCTGCACAGCTGAGTGAAATGCAGAAGGTTGTTACTGGCAATTTGGCAGCAAACTTACTATGAAATTAAAAATTGAATTCCCTGTAGTTCTCTAGTTTCTTCTTCTTTTTCTTTCCTGACACTTCCTTTCACGCCCTCTCTTTATGGTGGGTTTGTTAAGCCTTATAGTGTGTTTAGAGTTTGTTTGAAACACTAGAACCATTGTATAGCGAAGTCATCTGCTTACCCTGCACAGAGAAAGCCTTGCTAAGCAGAGGATTTACCTAACTGGGATTGCAACCTGAAAATGGTGATGCACTGGAATCACTTGGGATTGCCATTCTGTTTCACTACAACCCAATTCACCGTGTGTGGTTTCCACTATATTTAAGTTATGTCGTTTTGATTAGTAAAAGTGTTCAGCTTATACTTCTCCAAAAAAAAAAAACCATCCTTTTCTCGTCTCCTTAAAGTACAGGTCTGCTATAAGAAGTGATTGTGTAAAAGCGGCATCTTATTCAGTAGGTTTACTCCCTCTGGCTGTGTCTATCTTAGATTCTTTCTGGAAGTCTCCCACCCATTGCGTTATCAATAGAGGGAGCGTTAGTGTGGATAGGGTACGGGCATTTTTATCACCATGGCATCTAACCCTGCTTGGAGCAGTTCTACTAAAAAACACAGTGGTAAAAGAGCAGGTGGCCACCTGGTCCCCAGGTACTCAAGCACTCCCACCACTACTACCTCCAATGGATCTACACCTTTAGTGTTCCTCAGATTGTTTACTGTCGACAAGCCCTGTCTGTATTCGGATACACATCTGTCTATTTAAGGTGCAAAAATGAAATGTTACCTGCCTTATATGTTTGTTAGCTCCAGGAGTGAGCACTAGATTCTATTTTGGTTCCTCATAGAGCTAGCGTGCTAACAATGGAACGTAGCTGTGGCAATGCAAGTGGAGGGAGGGGTTATCTGGCCTGCGTATGTACCTAGCGTCTCTGACGGGCATCACTCGGAGCCTCTAGCTGCTCCTGCCCCTTGCGAGGCTGCGGCCACGTTCTATTTTGAGCGTGTTAGCTCGATGAGACCTAGTATGAATATGTCTCATTGAGTTGGGAATAATAAATATCTCCAGCTTGAGCTGTAGACATACCCTAAGGGAGGCGCGTGAAGGTATTTGGGGCTGGGGTTGCGGTTTAGAAGACGTACACCCAGTACTGTGAGTGTTGGAAGCAGAGGGACAACAGCGATGTTCTTTAAGAATCAACTTTCTCTTCACTTGCCTTTCTGGATGTCTCAAACCTTCCCCATACACCAGGAGTGAGCTACTAGAGAAGGGGTGGCCACCGCTGGCCCAGGCCACGGTTGCCAGCAGTTGTGGGAGAAGCACTAGCTAGCACCACAATCCGTTTGCCAGTAGGGGAACGTGCTGTGTTTCCAGCCTGGGAGAAGAAGGTACATCAATGTAACTGCTTTTCTTGCCCATTAGCTGTCCTCAGAACACACATCATAGAATCATAGAATATCAGGGTTGGAAGAGACTTCAGGAGGTCATCTAGTCCCATCCTCTGCTCAAATCACGACCAATTCCCAACTAAATCATCCCAGCCAGGGCTTTGTCAAACCTGACCTTAAAAACCTCTAAGGAAGGAGATTCCACCACCTCCCTAGGTAACCCATTCCACAGTGCTTCACCATCCTCCTAGTGAAAAAGTTTTTTCTAATATCCAACCTAAACCTCCCCCACTGCAACTTGAGACCATTACTCCTTGTTCTATCATCTGGTACCACTGAGAACAGTCTAGATCCATCCTCTTTGGAACCCCCTTTCAGGTAGTTGAAAGCAGCTATCAAATCCCCCCTCATTCTTCTCTTCTGCAGATTAAACAATCCCAGTTCCCTCAGCCTCTCCTCATAAGTCATGTGCTCCAGCCCCCTAATCATTTTTGTTGCCCTCCACTGGACTCTTTCCAATTTTTCCACATCCTTCTTGTAGTGCGGGGCCCAAAACGGGACATAGTACTCCTGATGAGGCCTCACCAATGTTGAATAGAGGGGAATGATCACGTCCCTCGATCTGATGGCAATGCCCCTACTTATACAGCCCAAAATGTCGTTAGTCTTCTTGGCAACAAGGGCACACTGTCAACTCATATCCAGCTTCTTGTCCACTGTAACCCCTAGGTCCTTTTCTGCAGAACTGCTGCCTAGCCATTCGGTCCCTAGTCTGTAACAGTGCATGGGATTCTTCCGTCCTAAGTGCAGGACTCTGCACTTGTCCTTGTTGAACCACATCAGGTTTCTTTTGGCCCAATCCTTTAATTTGTCTAGGTCCCTCTGTATCTGATCCCTACCCTCCAGCATATCTACCACTCCTCCCAGTTTAGTGTCATCTGCAAACTTGCTGAGAGTGCAGTCCACGCCATCCTCCAGATCATTAATGAAGATACTGAACAAAACCGGCTCCAGGACCGACCCTTGGGGCACACCGCTTGATACCGGCTGCCAACTAGACATGGAGGCATTGATCAACCAGCAAGCTTCCAGCAACAGAGAAACAACAGGAGCCACTACAGATGTCACTGCTGGAAAGATTAGTAAGTACAGGTTTAAGCAGAGTCCAATCAGACTTTCATGCTGCAGCCTGAACCGGACGGATTCCAGCACTAAACTATTATGGCACCAGCTGAGTTTAGCCAATTAGGGCAGAATGTGGTTCTTATCAGTGCCTCTTTCTTTGTGTAATGAATACACAGCTAGACAATTCACTGGAGATTCTAATGGAGGGCACGATATTGCAGAGAGTAGTAAACAGACTGGACAGAATCCAGAGATCAGAAATTAGAGATGGGAGAACTAATCTTTAGTGTCTGTAGTTATTCACCACGACCAGCCACTATCCTTGCCTGCTGGTTTATTTGTGCAGGCTAAGTAGTGAAACATTTGCAGCTATCTTGTGTCATGCTGCACTGTTTGACTAGTAAACTCAGTAGCGATTAGAGAGAGATTAAGGCTGCTTTTATGCCTGCCGTAATCACTTCAGCCAAAAAAATAATCAGCAGCTAAATACATACAAATAAAGCCAAATGGGATGGGAAAGAAGATCAGACTACCTAACTCAGTAGTCTGAGATGGGAGTGCAGCATTTAGCATTAAATAAAAAAAGACAACCACTTTTACATTCGTCGCCCCTTCATGGTCAGAATATTCTCTGTGAAAATGGCATATTCTCTTTCAATGGCTCCCTACCCTCCTACTGATAAGTCAAAAGGTGCTATTTCCTAGCAAAACTCATCTAATATCTAATAACAAAACAAAACAAAGAACCACTCAAAGTTCTTTCTACCTCAAAACAAAGGTCATAGTTGGTTTTCAGCCACTAGATGGGAAGATCACCAGTATTAATGATAATGCAACGGAGACACAGTTGATTTGACTTTGCAGGACTAAATTGTATGGAAAACATTCAGATGCATTGAATAATACATTTATTTGTCTGTAAAGTGCCAGGCACTCTTATGGGGCTGTGTAAATTAGGCAATTCTTTATTTTGCAAATACTCTGACCGTAACCCCATACAGCTTGGAGATCCTCAGGGGGAAATAATAGTAAAAAAGCTGCACAAACCTCTTAGCAGCTTAAAGAAAAATCCCTCCCTTCTTGCCCCTCAACAGTATTTTAAAAGGTGTTTCTAACAAATCGGAATCC